AATGTGGAGTGACAGAATAATAACATGAGAGGCAATTTTGAGTGTCCGAATAAGAATAAGAATATAAAACCAAAGCATTATTATTATTACTGTAAAATCATATTATCCCATTATTTGCAACTAAATGATTAATAGAGAGAGTAATGAATTATCGATATAATTGTTTATTACAACACTAATTTATAATGTATTCATCATCTGACAAAGACTGAAGTAGAGATTATAAAAAATAAAAATAAAGTATTTTCTGTCTAAGGATTACACATTAGTATGTCACACATTTCACATCCCAAATGACAAAAGTGCAAAGTTTCATTGCTGATTTGCTGAGGTAACTTCTTACCTGAGTCTTTTATAGACACAGACCTCGTGACCTCGGAATCACTGTGAACTATGTGTTGCATGTTCTCTTCTTGACCTTCATTACATCATCCATGGACACAAACCAACCTATGACGCCAGTCTGGGCTGCGTCACACGAGGATGCCATAGAAACAAGTATACTGTACTTCAAGCTTATGCTCTGAACTGTACATGAACTAAGAATGAGTCAGTGTGGCTAAAAATCCTTTCAAGTCAAAAATACAAGCTCATATTTAAAAGATGCCCTGCAGTACCATCTTTCATAAAAGCCACAGAGCTCTGAGCTAGATTAATGCATGTTATTTACTCCAGCACAAAATCTATGGCACCAGTCGCCAAAGGTGCATGCCTAGAATTTCCTCATCAGCTCAAAAGCAGGCTGATAGATTACAAACTTTGCCACTTTGATCGTTGTTAAGAATGGCCGCAGAGCATGGAAAGATCTGTTTAATGTGACCCCATGCCATGCTTTTGCACATGCACCGGAAAAATGCAACAAGCTGCAAAAAAACTGCTTGATAGTAGTATGGTGATAGTCACTAAGGTTTATTTCTGCGATTTTATTCCCAGGTTAGGGTTTGAAAGCTAAGAACCTGTTCCATCATACATAGCTGATAACACAAGTTGACAACCAAAAAATGGTCAGGGGTTTCTCAACTGATTTTGACTTTCTGTACTGTTGATCTACATTGGCTTATTATTGTTTTTTTTTAAGTTTTTTTACCTTTTTGGTACATTCTAAGCCATTAAATCTGTAGTAACTATGATTCATCATATTATCTTCTACATATTGAGAGATAGTTGGGTGAATGAGCGCTGGTACTGAAAGCTAAAGTAAACTAAATTAATAAAACCTCACTGTAAGCAAGAAACTATTTAGATAGATTTCATTAGATAGTATTGTTTTGTGGGTTGATAGTTTAACACCAATGTGGTTGAGTAATAAGCTTTCCTATCAACACAATAGTTTTTCATTCTACAGAATACTTTGATCTGACAAACATCTTACTTCGATAGGGATTGAGTCCTGTGGAGATAATACAAACTGCCTTTGCAATATTTCATCATATAGTTTTATGAGAAGCAGTGTGAAGTAGGTCATTTTTATAGATTATTCGCAGCAATTTGAGCAGGAGGATTTAGAGGGGTCTGTTTTTAATGGAGTCTTTGTCATACAGTCTTTGGCCAGGGCTATCCTCAGTACAATACAATTATTATTTAGCTTAGTCCAAAACAAGTGGACTATAAGCTAAAGGTATTTGGTTCTTCTATAGATCATCATAAGTTCATAAGTTAGCGATGTCATTACAGAAGCATCACTTCTGAGTTTTTAACTGATATTGTCTGGTATAGAATAATACAATATCTTTATTTCTACTAAGACAATATAAACCTTCCTGGACGATAAGCTCCATTGATTTGGTACATTTATCTTTCTAATCCTAACGTAAAACACATACAAAACCACAATATTAGGTCAACCATTTTGAAACAGTAAGGATTAAAGATTAGGATTAAGTATAATGTAAATAAAGAAACACAATTAACATTTTACCACTCCACTCCCGTGCTGATAACACTAGGGCACAAAATAAATGTATAAATATATTACTCATGAAACAACACCTCTGCTTTTATGTGAGCCCTAACAGCACTATTTTGAATCATAATTTAAAGTTTATGTCATTTTAATTATATTGTGTTTTCAGCTTTTCTTTTACCCACAAGGACCCTTTTTCTTCTCCCCTCTCTTACCCAATACAGGATTTTAATCAATTTCAATTAATCTCTGGAAAGAACTAATCAATGCACGTTTTATAAGTTAGCACAATCAGAAGAACGGTGGTATTTGTGAGCTTCTTCCACAGAGGAAAAACACATTTAATGGTGTGGAGATCAAGAAAGCAGCAGTGGGAAATGTTTTTAATCACCTGCACCCACTGTGTTTAGTCTGTGTGATTTTTCAGATGTTATGTATGTTTGAGTGAGGCTACAAGAACAGAAACAATTTAATGTTTCTACTTGATTGTGCAGATAAAATGCACTCTAATTCAGCAGTAAAAATTGCTCCAAATCTGAAATGGTTTCGACCAGTTTATGTTTACAGTATATAGGAAAGTAATCAAAAACATGGTAATCTATTTTTTAAGTATTTCTTGTGGATATTGTTTAGGAGGTTGTAAAGTCCAAAGGGAAATACAGAAGTGCATGAAACTAAAGTGGTAGAAATCAAAGAATTTTTTTGTCTGCACTAGTGTAACTAAAAATATTTATGCTGTGTGCTTCTGTGAGTGAGGTAAGGCTCGGTATAGATATCCCTGTCTGAGCCCAGCAGTGCCACCATCAGAGAAATACACTGAGGCAGCTTAAGACCAATAAAAAAAAAAAACATTGATTGAATTCATGAGTGCAGGCTGCTCCCAGACGTGGTCAAGACCAAAGGAGAGTCAGCACTAAAGATTGTGTACTGGGTTTTCACTGGTTCGTGCCTGTTTAAGCAGACTGGTCAATATACAGTGTAAGGGTTAGTGTTGTCATGAATGTAAAATGCAATTTGCTAAAAAAAAAAAAAAAAAACAAGTGGGCTATATTTGTTTTTGATGGAGAAAGGAGTTTCAAATATAAAACAATAATGAGAATAATGAAAGAATATATATGTCTCATCTGTGTTCTCTTCCTGTTTACATGGCGACAACATTGTCACGCTTGTCAGGGCCTACACAACAACACAGTTTATAGTTGAGTAAATGTGAAAAGAATATGCACTTGGCCAGAATGTAACCACACAAACTATACACCCAGGAAAACCAAAGAGAGTTCAATCTATTTATCAACATATCTTTTTATCAACATATCTATTTTTTTTTACTTCTCTTTGTCTAACTTTAACTATGATAAACTTCACTCCTTAGCTAAGTAGCTAATAGGTAGTCAATGCTGAGACACGGTTGGACGGCACAATGGCTGAGTGGATAGCACGGTTGCCTCTCAGCAAGGAGGTCCTGGGTTCATGCCACAATCTGGTCATATTAATTAGGCATTATGGTATTATGAATGATTTGATATTTCAGAGGGGTCTTTGTAGCATACATGTTCTCCCTGTCCTCCTTGAAGAAACAAAATGGTGACAGTATCTCCAAAGCCCTGCTGCTACATGGTCCCATATCTGTGGAAAAGGGTCCATTTACTCCTCACCTTGTCTGATATGTAGAGTTATGGATCAAGTGGCCCTGCTTTATTTGGCTCAACAGTGAGGAATGAGGGGGATGGGGTAGTCAAAATGATGGAGAATCTGTGCAGAGGGGACAGAGGTAAGCCATGGGGGAAGGGACCCGAGCTGTGCACTTGTGATGTACAGTAGGGTGCTTGAGAAGATCTGGCCATTGGATTGGCCACGGTAAAAATAAATACATTTGTACTTTTTACTCGCGGCTCACTGATTAAAGTTTAAAACCTATGCTTTTAGTCTGAAAGATTTCACCTTCACTGGAGATGAATCAATGCATCAAGCAATATCCAGGTGTCTTTAATGGGTTCTGCTGAAAGTGCTTATTGAAGAATGATGCCAGATCATACATGGGAGAGACGCATTATTTATTTATCATTTGTGGAAGAAGAATTCCATTATCTTACACTCTTAATATCAACAGGTCACAAGGAAGTGCATTGGTGGTGCTGATTCTAAGCCCAGATTTAAACAGATCTAAACCCAGTTGTGTTGTGCCTAAGACATAAACACCACTGGTGAATGAATGGATGGAACCCTCCACCGCCCTAGTGCGAGCTACTGTGGCTGTACATCTTCCTATCAATGGCTTTATTGGTGTGCATAAATCATGAAATAGTGCTGTCCTTGCATCAAATAAATCCTTCAGCCCACCGAGCAGCATAGATCCTCTGCTGTAATGTGCTCTACACCATTTGTAGCGTACAATTGTGTTTTGTAGTTATTTTGAAATCACTGTAATGGGATTAACAAGTGTAGATTTGAATATATCCCTAACTAGTGATGCATTTCATTATTTGATTAAACAAGTCAATCTTTGAAAGACATGTTTAAATGTGGGGCACTTTTTACCAACTGAGCTGGCAGCGGCTCTGAATCCTTTGCATCGGAAACTAATTTTGAGCCATTTATTGCCAGAAACCACAGCTCCACAGCAGCTGGTGTGAGTCACAGACCGGGGCCAAACCACACCAAGACCATGCAGGTCCGCACTCCTCGGTTTGCAGAGTGATCCAGGACATTCTATTCAGCAACTATACTGAATAAAAGCATAGAAACTTGGTTTGATTATGAAAGACTTCCTTCTCCTTGTAAACTACAACATGCTTAGTAGTAACAAGATGTGTGACTGTGTTGTTTTTTCGGATCATGAGTCACAATAATGTACTTCAGTCACACTCGAGTGGGAACCCAGGACACCTTTAGGGTTGTAATGGTCGCCGTTATCATCTGAAGTTATAATCCTAGCATGGTCAGACTTGGAATTGGGCATATAGTTTTCACGTTTGAATAAACTCACAGACCTAGTAATGGCTTACCTTGTACATGAATTGTGGTATACGAATAAATGATTGATTGATTGACCACATGCTTTCCCACATTTACCTGTCTTGCATCTGTCTCTTGTCAGAAACCAAACGGTGCTGCACCAGTTCTGCTGTCCTGCCCCTGATGCTCCAGAGGCGGAGAGCTCCACTGCCTGTGTCCCCAGGTAAGACTATTTTCACTCTACCACACTCTTCACTTATTTTTATTTCCGTTCCATGGTTGATTTGCAGTAACATGCAGCCACACACCATACATCCTGTTAATAGTGTCATTTAGCCCAATATTGAGGCAACATCAGCTGAAGTGCCCCAGAGGGAATGACTGAGTTTGATGTGGTTGTGAAACCAATGGAAACGGATAAAAGACAATCGGCCACAATAGGCCTATAGTGACAGACACAGAGTGAGCCTCTGAGGTGATTGAATCTTGATATTTGGTATTAAGTCACAGCAATGTTCTTCTTTATTGTAACTGATAAATCAAAGTAATGCTCAAATTAATAACCACAATATCCAATTTTCTAATCAGGCTTGTGGCAAAGCTGAAAAATGAAGCAATCTGGAGACATTACTTTGAGCGGTTTTAAATGACAGTGCTGTTATTGTCCATTGCAGATTAATTCCTGGCACATCAGATGAAGCCCAAAAGCTGATTCGATGCTTGTAAACAACATTGCTTTAGGAACTGAGAAGCAAGCGCCGAGCTGTACAGGAGATTAGCTTTATATTGCATGTCTAAAATTATAGCCAGGAGCAGCAGAAATGATGACTTGACGATACGTTACCTCTGTTACATACCTAAATACAATACAATATGTGTGCTAAAAGAAACCAAAGATTATAATTTTGATCAAACGCGTATTTTTAAATTGTGTATCCACCAAAACTAGAATTATAATGTAGAAATCTTGAGGATTGATACAAATTAAGGTTTGCATCAATCTCTCATAGTTTAAGGTCGCATGCTAAAGTGTGGTCTGTGCTTGTCAGAATATAGCTTGTGTATTAATGGTAAATCACTGCTCCCTGAGGCGCCGGACACACTTAGTGGCAGACGGCAGTGAACCAACAAGCCCTGACAGAAACACACTATAAATACCTCAGAAGCTGTGAAATGAAACCCACCACACTGGTAAAAAACTAATCATCAGCCAGAAGAACGGCTGCAATAACTGAGTTTTGTTGTTTGTTTATTTATTTTAGTTTTTTTACTCCACAATATTTTAATCTATATAAACAAAAACAGGCATTCACTACCTGTATGGCAACCCCACTCCTAAGTGTGAAGTGAGAGGACAAATACCCACAATAATTGTCAAGTACTTTGTGTCTTTGGTCTGTGAAAGGTTCTATATACAGTAAATAAAGATTACTAACTTACTTATTCAAATGGATTGTAAGTAAGTAAGTAATCTTTCTTACTTACTTACTTGACGGGATTATCCTCCTCTGTCAACCTGTGTTTGGGTTGAAGAAGACAATAGAGGAGGACAACAATAGGTTGCGTTCATCTTGTAGGTTTAATACAATTAGACCCTAGTGGTTTTGTTTCATGTGGACGGGTACATGATCTAAAAACTAAGATCAGAAATCTAATTTGTGACAGTTTCCATAGTTACCAGAAAATATTTTTTAGCTTCCCTCTCATCTACAGTATGTTAAACTATGGGCTACTATGTATGTTGTGATGCCACATGAACACAACTTATTTACCAAAGAGTCAAGTTTGATGTGTTTTTTGGAGTTTGGACTTTGGCTTTTTTTCACCACTAATAAAAAAATTAATCTATACATTTCTTTACTGCCAAACACAATATTGTTTTCTTTATTTGATTTCCCCAAAGCTGAATATGACAGGGCTCAAAACTTTGTGTCTGCCACCAGCGCCTCTTAGCAAGTGACCTATGTACTAACAGTTGACCCGTGAGTGACTATCATATCGATCAAACTTGTAGAGAGGAATTGAAAAGCTTCGCAAAAGGGAAAAAAGGGAACGAGGGTAAAGAAAATCAATATTGCCGTGACTTAACTTGAGCTGAAAGTTTTGGCGGGGTGTAGGGATGGGGTGAGATTGCTCTGGGTTTTGGGGCCGTTAGAAAAGGTATAACACAAAGTGAACAACAAAACGGTCTGCACTCACTTGGATTGGAGCCTCCTGCCGGCTCCAACCACTTCAAAGCCGTCATCTCTGGGGCATTAGACAGGCGAAGTTAGCGTCAGAGGCTTATGGGTTTTTTGTCTTTTGTTATTTATTTCTGTTCTTGTCACGGAAGTTGTAATTCCTTGTATTTCCGCATTGTTGTCAGTGGATTTGCCATCTTCCACCTCTTTCACCGCAACATAACTTCGCCAAAAGCATCTCATAGCATTGCATCCATGGCCATAAAGACCACCTCATCCTTCAAGCTTGTCTTTTCTACTGTGATTGCATTCAGTTTTGATGAAAGCTAACTGTATCTATGCTACTACAATTCCCATAATGCATTGGTGTGTAGGGACTGTCCAATGCCATGTCGTAAACCAGTGAGCTGTTTTGTCGACACATGTAATGCATTTGTGTTCATGTGAAAATATGTTATTTTCATGTTGCATGTTGGAATCAAAGCATAACCCTTGTTTGTGTGTCTGGAAATGAGTGAGTGAAGAACACACACACACACACACACACACACGCACTATGGTACTTGTGCAAATTGTTGGTAGAAAAAAAACAAAATAGATTTTATTACATTTTTACCTACAGTAGTGCTTTAAATGACAATGGGTAAAAAATATCTGGAAATATTTTCCCTCAGCAAAATAGCTCATACCAGTATTACGGAATTTTGAAACCGCTAAAACTATAAAATACCATCCATCAAACAACCAGTTCTGCTCTTGGTTCAATCACTAGTTTTCTTTTTTTTAATACTTAAAAAAAAAAAAAACTAATATAATAGCAATCACTAGTTTTCAAGCATGTATTATTTGGCCTCTGTCATATCAGCTTTTTTGGCCAGAACATTGAAAAACGGGACCACCGTCACTTAGCCAATCAGCTCTCAACCTAAAGAGTGAAAAGGTGACACACAGGGCTCTTTCTTACAGGTTCTTAAGAATATGCAAAATATAAAATGTTTTCTCATAAGATGAAGATGTCGTAGTCTGATTTGCTCACAACATTGCACTTTTACAATACAATATTTTCTGTTGGGACAAACCAAACAAAAAACAAAATATATCAATGCAGATCCAGTACAAAACCCAACCCCTTTTCAACATTTCCATTGCTTGGAAAATTCAGACTAAACCCCATAATCCATCTTTATAGAAATCAGATGAGTGCCTCTTTCCTGATTACCCCGTTGCTCCTTCTGAATCATTCCCCGACCACATAATGATGCATCGCTTTACACGCGCTGTCACGAATGGAGAGCCGTAATCTAATCATCGATATTTTATTTGCACTGCATTTCTACTGAGACTAATCCGGGGTCTTTGCCACTGGGCCCAGACAAGGAAAAGGTCAGCAGTGGTGTTGGTGTCTGCAGAAGCTCATTTGAAAGCACGTAGCAGCTCTGTCAAATGAGTTATTCCACGACAGGTAGTAACACGGTTTACCTGGATCATTTAAATGAGTGGACAGCAGGGAGGTGTGTGCAGGACTTCACTGTCACTTATAATGAGGACTCTATGGAGCTGCAGGACTCAGCTTGAGATCTCACACAAGGGTTTGTCAGATCTATATTTGTTACTGTGATGGTGGGACGGTAGGTTATGTGATGGGTTGCATAGTCTGATTTCTTAACCACAAAAGTGCATTCTGCAGCTTATGAGGGGGTGCCTTTTTTTGCTTGGATTCATCAAAATTTTGCCTTAAATGTTGAATAGACAAGCAAGCAACATCATGAGGCTAAGTTACAGCTCATGCTATATGTGGATAGGTTTATCTAAACTTCAGATAGATAGATACTTTATGGATCCCTGTAGGAGAAATTCAGGTGTCAGAAAAAATAAAAGATCAAATGTATCACTAAAAAGCTAACAATAGTAATAATCAGCAACAGCCTTTCAGGTCACAGTAGCAGAGATGGAGTAGCCTATGGGTGGAGCAGGACAGGTCACAATGTGGAGTAGCTGCTTGGTTCGGACCATATTCTCTAGTCCAAAGTAAAAAGCTATTAGCATTTAGCTAAAATTAGCATTTTTCAACAAGTTAGCATTCCTCCAGTGGATTTTTGCTTGATCTGCTGGGTTTGGACCATGAATCCTATCTGCTCTGGTCTGGACCAGTGTAAAACCATGAACACTGTACTGCAGTAACATCTCAGGTAGAAAAAAGCAAAAAAAATAAGGAAGCACAAAACAGAGATACTTAGAGACTTCCAGTGCATTCAAAATTATCTTTGAAATAGCATCTGTAAAATTCAGTCATCATTATTTGGCCCTTAGATGTCAATAGGCAATGATTAATCAGGCTCTTTTCGAATACTTCTTTAACTGATAACAGCAGTTTAGCCGAGATGTCAGAATTTCAAAATTAGTTTTACAGACCCTATATCTCGTTATTATTTTCATTCATTTTCATCGATGTCCCGCCCTCACCGTCCGTGATCCTGGTTGCCAGAACTCACCGTGTCGAGCTAATCTCCCTGGTAGAGTAACATGTGGGCGCAGTTCAGGAAAAAGGTCTTGTTAAGATTCTCAAATCATTAATGAAAAAACAAGGAATAAAACGTGGATTTCTATCTGGGCCTTTGTGAAAAAGGGGTTGGTTATAGATTTGTTGTAGATTTGTTGTTGACAAAACTCTTGTCTATTCAAATAATATGGTCCCAGCTGGATTTGTCTGCATATCTGGCAACCTGAGTCAGGGAGATTGGGAGAGGTTGCAGTACCACTTTTGGCCAGATTTTTACACAATGCTCCTTTAATTCAGACACATAAAGAGTCTATATAACACAAAAAAAGACAACAAAAACATCAAACATACATTATTTACAAAGTTCTGCAAAGACAGTTTTTCCAATGCATCCAGAGTAAGTAAAAACGTCTGTGACTAAATTAGGTACACATTTTATATCGTTCTGAGATGCCTTCCAAGCAAAGAAATAACTCTCTATGGCTACATGCGGGTAATTGACCTAGTAAAACGTTGCGCTATGCATCTTTAAATATAACTTGA